CCACTGGTTAAGCTGGAAGAGACTCAAGTCATCTCATCCAAACGACTATTGGGTATCACATCTATATATATATATATATTTGCTGGCATGTGGCATTTAATAAAACATTTAATAAAACTTCTAAAATTTTCCTTCCATTTTCAGTTACAAAATTTGTCATTAATATTTTTTACTTCTCACATTAATACATCGTAATGAGTGTAATTATGTATGTTTCTATTATATTATATAATAATTATTGCTAATACTAACTAATAATAATTCACAATAAATCTGAATTACATAATTATAAACAATTGTTTCAAGTTATGTATTCTAACATCAATATTATCTTTTTCTTTTGTATCTCATAAAAAAAATTAAAAACAATTAGTAAATTGTTTTAATAGCATAGTTAAACAACTTTAAAATCTTATAATAGTTGTTTTTATTAATATATATATATATATAATTGCTAGCTTAGCATTTTATTTTACCTATTTAAAAAAACCTCTAAAATTTTCCCTCTATTTTCAGTTACAAAATTTATCATTAATTTTTTTTTTTACTTCTCACATTAACACATTCTATTAAGTGTAATCATGTATTTTTCTATTATAATATATAATAGTTATTGCTAACAACAACTAATAATAATTCACAATAAATATAAATTACATAATTATAAACAATTGTTTCAAGTTATTTATATTAACATCAATATTATCTTTTTCTTTTGTATCTCATGAAAAAATTCCTTAAAAACAATTAGTAAATTGTTTTAATAGCATAGTCAAACAACTTTAGAAACTTATAAACAATTTTTTTTTTAATAATAATAATAATAATAATAATAATAATAATAATAATAATAATAATAATAATCAAACTGTTATTATCTAATGATAATAAACAATTGTTTATAATAATAAAATCGTTAATTTATTTTTCCTAATGATCAAATTTTTTAAAATGTAATTTGTTCATTATCTAGAATTTTAATATTAAATTTTCAAATATTACTTACTAATATTTTATGTACATCTGTGCATGTGCACAAGATATCTACTAGTTCTTCTTTAATCTAACTTTTATGTCACACATCATCAGATATTTATGTTCCATTTTGTATTCTTCCTTCCTTCTTGCTCAGAAAGGAAAAAAATAACTATTTATCTGTTAATAATAATTAGTTTCTGATATATAATTTAATTTGTCCGTCTATAAATAATTTTTTTTTTCCCACGTCTGAATCTTAAAAAGGTAAATTTAAAGATTGGAATAATAAAAACTCATTTTAAATATTAGATGCACCACAACTTTTATGTTTCTTAATTATAAATGCATCATGTTTAATTTTGTAATAAATAAATATTACCCAAATTTAAGTAATATATTTAATGAATTAGTTTTATATCATTTTTGCAATATATATTTAATAAAAAAATATATGAGCTTATCATTTACAACAAGTATTCAGTCTTCTGTTCACCAAAAAAAAAAAAAAA